TAAAATTTTGTTTTTTTTTTTTTTTTTTTTTTTTTTTTTTTTTTTTTTTTTTTTTTGTGGGGGGGAGAGTTGTTTGCCTTTTTTTAAGAAGACTAGAGAGAACATGCCTGAATATGCTCTTCAAAGAGATTTTACTTGGAAGTGTTCCAAGTATTTTTGTGTTTTTCCTGAATTACCATTTTATCCATAGATTGTCAACACCCTCCAGTCTTTAATCCAGCAAAAGCATCCCATTTATTAACAAAACTAATTTGGATTCGTCTGAGTATTTTTTCTTCTACTTTTGGAGCCCTGAGAGTCTAAACATAAACCCTCCCATTTTTAATTTATCTCTTTGGTTTGCAGCACTGCTTTCTATGGCCTGAGGCACTGTCAAAGATAGCAAATCAATGCCACTGGGTTTCAGTTGTACTCTTCTGGGTGCAAACAGAATAACAAGTATAGACCAAGTAGATAAAGGTAGAGTTCCTAATGGAAATGCCTCTTCATGAGTCCAAGGATGGTAAGTTGTATGGTAGCTAATGTGCTTGGTACCACAACCTTCAGAATGCAATTGCAGAATTTCTCAGACAGTTTTACCCATGGAGGCCAGGACACTGCATCAACATGTACATGTGTAAGAAGATGTTGCCATTTCCAACATCCAGCAAACACTAACTGGCACTTGAAAAGGAACCTTTTTTAACTGAAAAGCATTTGGGCTGGCAACTTGATTATGTAGTACATCCTCTTTATATGTGTGTACTATACAGAAATAGATATATCAATGAAAATTTTTGCAAAAACTTGGGATAATTTCCAAAAGTGTAAGTCAATATAAATTGTGGTAATTTACTCCTAGATAAGGGGAAAAGCAACAGTGAGATCAGTGTCACACTTATGGCTTCTTTTCTTGAGGAAGTTGTGGCCATATATTCATCATCTGCAGGGGGATGACACTCACTGCAAAATTAATTTTGGTTTTAGTGAGATTTTATCCTCACTATTCTTTACAGAGCATTTCTGCTGCAGGAGATCTGGTTTTTTTACTAACTGCATACTTACTGGCCAGAGGATTTATGTATTACTCTGTAATCAAATGTCCTTGCATATAATCTCTAGATTATCAGAAGACAACTTCTTTTTCTTTTTTTATCTTTTTAAGAGAAAATTAAGCAGTGAATTAAAAAAGCTCTGAAGTAACTTTTTATGATAGTTTAAGGACAAAAAATACAGTTTGCTGTATTTTACCTTTAGCACATTTAAACAATCCTTTTCTTTTTAATTATACCTTCAGAAACATGAGGAAAGATTTGGTTTAAAAATAAGGAAGGTAAAAAAACTGGATGTAGCCTCTTTAACAGAATGTACCACAGTTCTTCTGTTTGCTGTGTTGACTTTGTTGTTTATATTGCATTGCGTGAGCACATTCACCATGTACTGAAGTGTGTATTTGTGTGTATGGGGTGGGGGTAGAGGGAAATCTTTTTATGGAAAAAAAAGTTGTGAGCATAAACTATGAAGCAGCATCTAATGAAAAGTTTCTTTTTAAGTGCAATATATTTATTTCTGCTAGAAATATAATATCAACATTATGTAATATTTGAAGCATTAAATGTTATTTGTAAACAGCTTAAAATTATATATATATCACAAAAACTGTACAGAAGTGCAAATGTGTGGATATTCAGTTTCTTTCATTAAAATATTGGGTGTTTTGATATATCATTCTTATTTAGCCAAATCTTTCTGCTTCTATTTTTTTTCCTCTAACCAAGTCACCAAGGGCAGTGGAACCAGTCATAGATGTTTCTGAGAGTACGCAAAATTTGTTAGGGCTGCTCATCTACAAAAGGAGATCTAAGCCTTGGATTCATATGGAGTGCTAGTTGTACTGCAGTTAAATACAATTGTATCTTGCATGAAATTAGAGAAATTATTTCTTTTTCAGGATGCTTTGCAATCATATTTATAAAAACTCCTGGGTTTGCCAGCAGAACTCAAATAAATGGCTGAAATACAGAGTTCTTAGAGTCCCCAGGGCAGTAAATACAGTCTTAGAAACACAGTATAAGAAGAGAGTGGAACTAGGTCTGTTAAGTCAGGAGAAGTGAAGAATGTAAAAAGTGAGGAGTAAATTCCTCTCCATAAATGCTGCAGGCTTTTTATTTAAAAGGATTTTTTCAATTATAAGAGCATATATTAAAGCAAGAGAGAGTTACCCGAGACTCTATCCAAGGTATTCAAAGAGGAAAGATAGTGATGCACAGTACAGAATTGCTTAGAGAGTATAAGGAGCAATACGTATCCTTCAAGGTCTTCTAGAACAGGTTAAACATGCAGTTCTCAAGAATGATGTGATTAAAGCTAATCTTGCCCGAGGACAATCAAATGATCTCTTGAGGTGCTTCCAAGCTTCCTACAAGAGCCATCCCTTACAGCAGCTTCTGAAAAAATTCTCATGTTGCTCCAAGAGTTTTTGTTATGCAC